AAAACGCTACAGAGACCCGGTCATTTTTTTTTCAAGTGTAGGAAAAGTCTGAGAGGAAGGGAGTGAGGAAAAGAAAACAGGTTTGAATGACAGCGGGCCGGATTTCGGGCTGGGAATTTCGGGACAATCAGGTTAACAGAATCCTGGAATTGGTCCTTGAGGGAATTTCCAGTGTGGCCTTTTCCCGGAAAACATTTTTTTTCCCCCTGGTGAACTGATCACTTCAAGTCACAAACATGCGCCTTCCTGAAGGCGGGGTGGGGGAGGAACTCTCTCTCCCCCACTGACCTCCCCTGCTCTGAGCCCCACGCTTCCGAGAGGCAGCCCTGGGCTTTCTTCTTCCTCAACTCCCTTCCCCGAGACATCTGCCGAGTGACTGCCGAGTGACTGCTGAGGACATCCCCGCTGACAAGGACCGCAAAACTGGCTGGGACACCAGGTCTCTGCCAGACAGCACAGCCGGAAGTGACCCTTCCTACAGGCACGTGTGATGCGAGGGCGCCCTCGCCATGGGGCCTGGGGTGCTGGACGCCAGCGATGGAGAGTCTCCAAGCCGCATGTGCACATTAGAAATAGATTTGCGTTTATAGGGAGGTAAAACGTAGGTAATGAAAAACGTAGACGAACTAACTCTTCTGCAAATCAGAGGTGGTAATTTCTAAGGAAATTTGTAGGAGGTATTTTCTATATTCAGAGATACCTTTTTTTTATTCCACGTGAAGAAAATATTTCAAGAGAAAACAGGGAAATGGGGTCTTCCCTTTACACCTTAGGAAACGTTAGCAGGTGAGAACGAAGAACTGGCACACACACCATGCAGGAGAAACAGCATTCCATTCTGAGTTACACCGTGGGCTCGTGAGCCCGTGCTCAGTGTTTTGTTGTTGTTGTTTTTGTGTTTGTTTTTTTTTTTTAAGACAGAGGGGAAGGGAGGCAGAGAAAGAGGGAGAGACACATCAGCGTGAGAGAGAAACATCGATCGATTGCCTCTCGCACGTGCCCGGACCAGGGACCCAACCTGCAGCCCAGGCCTGTGCCCTGGACAGGGAAACGAACTGGTGACCTTTTGCTTTGCAGGACGATGCCCGGCCCACTGAGCCACGCTGGTCAGGGCTCCATATTTAGTTTTGACTTTCACTTCCCACACCCCCTGAACTCCCCGAGGCCGGGGGCCCCATGTAAATGTTTGTTACAGGAAGGCACGGAAGTAGCGCCCTCTCTGTAAAGCGGGGTGCCAGTGCCCGGCCCGTGGCTCTGTTAGGAGGATGAGTTAACATGGGTACAGAGTGTACCACAAACTGAGTGGGGTCTGAGTCGTAATTATCACTTCTAACTTCAGGCACGCCGGTTTCTTTTAGAGGAATAATAAAGACCTTCCCATACTCCAGGTTTTCCATTTCCTTTTTCTTTTTTCCACCAATAGGGTATTGACATGTGAAATAGACTATTACAAGGCTTTCAAGCTCACCCTCTATAGCGGTTACCTAAAGTCTGCTGGCATTATTCTGAATCCTGTCTTTGACAGCAACCTGAAGTGCTGGGATTGTCGTAAGACTGCCAGAAAACGCTGGCAAATTATGTGTTCCGAGGACAATAAAAAGTGTTCACATATCACACCCTCTTGATCATCCCTGCTTTGTTCCACCTAAACCTCAAAAGGTGGTTTCCCAAGATTGGTCGCTATGAGAGGAAGGAAGAAAAAGGTGAAAAAAACATACGCAGTAAAATAGGAAGGCCACGAGCTGCTGTAACTTGCATAAAGCACCCCACTTCTCTTGTAGGAAAATGATGGGCAATGCACGCACGGTGAGCCCACAGCTGGCTGGTGGGCAGGTGGGGCCTCCCCTCCGCCGGGAGCCTGCCCGCCCTTCCCCGCCTGCCGCCTGGGTTAGGAACGGATCCCGATTAAGGGCAAAGGCTACATCTTTCAGACTTCGGGATACTTTCCCAGAGGCGCAGCTGCAGCCTGTGAAACTGTTCTGACCGCTTGTTTCCTCATTTTTAAAGTGGCACAGAATGCACCACGACAGAAAGACACTCTCTACCTGAAACCAGCAGTCGCTCAGGGTGGGGGTGGGGTCAAAAAAGGCTCTTTCTTCTGTGGGCGGGGTGGGGGGGTGTGTTTATTGTTGCTGGCACCCAAACTGGAAAAGGAATGGCAGGAGGTTAATAATTGAAATGTTGCCATCATTGGTTTTCTAAACTATTTGTGGGGTATTCTTTCCCTAGAGTCATCGTGCCTGTAAGCAGCTCGAAAGACAGAGGGAGTCGACCTGTGCTGGGATGATACCCACGGCTGCCGGGCACCTCACCTGCGCTCGGTCCCGAGACGCCCCGCAACACGCCCGCAGTCCGATGCCAGGGCCGTACCACACTCTTGGGAACGGAGGGTAAAATTAACGAGCCTTGACTCACTCCTCCAATGTGACAAGGATGAAAACAATATTTATACTTGCTCATTTTAAAAATATGAAACACAAACACAGGAAAAAGATATTTTAGAACATGTATCATCCAATTATTTCCACGGAAGATGATTCAGAAGCCATTTCTCGGTAGGCGTCTTGGTGGGCCCATCTGATGAGAGATCTCGGCGTTGTGGGGAAGGCTGGCTGCAGACGCCAGTGCTGATCAGCGCGGCTCACCTCGGGCCCCGGGGAACATGATTACCTTGGAATGCAGGGTCCTCTGCTCCGGAGCCTGTGGCCACACAAACTTCGTGGTTGGCCTTTGCACTACAGACCGAAGAAAGCCTCGCTAAGCAAGCTGATGGAGTAACCCACAATTGCGAGGCAAATGTTTAACCTTCTAAAGAAAATAAACCTTTTAAAGAAGTTCAACTTAATCAGTACCAAGCCACTGAAAACGAATGTGCTGTTTATAAGCCTATCTTTAGAAGCAAATCGTGGAAGACTGATTACACTTTGCCACCCAGTGACTCGCGTTATCACACATCCCCCCGCCCCCCACCCCCCCCACCGTCCAGAGAACAGCATTTCTCTCAGCACGCCGGGCAGTTCGGAAGGCTCCACTCCCCCATTCAGGGCTGCACCCCATATGCCAACCTGGGGCCCCTGCACCCCAACTAAACAAACGAGCACACTCTGGAGGTACAGCTGAAATGCCTGGCCTGTCATATGTCTGCTGAGAAGAACCCCCAGGTTCGATTCTTTAGTAGCTCAAAAACTATTAGAAATCACTCTTCTGGGAGAATCCCCAGGAAAGGCCCTGCTCCTTCGGGGCCCACACAGGGAGTCCAGATGCTCTGATTTGGGGATGTGGTAAAAACCAGGTTCGCTGAACCCAGCGGATGTCGCCGAGGAGGGAAAAAAGGAGGTCGCTGGAGTCTCAGAAGCACTCATCACGGTAAGTGAATGGAGGCTCCGGCAAGACAACCCTTGATTGCAGAGGTCACCTGTCTGTTTCAGGGCATGACCAGACAGTCTCTCGCAATGAGACCCAGGCCTGGACTTGTGCTGAGTGATGCCGAAACTGTCTGGGGAGGGGGGGCAGAGGAAGACGAGGAAAAGAATTACAGGGATGCACAGAGAAACTGCAGAATCAAAGCACACGAGCAGAGCAATAATTAAGAGCACACAAACAAGACGGAGGACAGCCCAGGGTTGAACGAGGTGACCAGGGAGATCGCCAGGGACAGGGAGGGCAGACTGGCAAATAGAAGCCATGTGCTCCTGAGACCTTTGACATGCCTGATTATTCTTAAACCATGACACCCTGCACGCCCACAGCCCTTTATGGGGTGTAAAGCACTGAAAGAACACAGTCTTAAGAACAGGAGTGACCGGTCTTAGCCTCAGGGGTCAGGTGTACATTCCACATGGATTTAGAACGAAAAGAACAGGAGCAGAACAAGCCGTTCCCGGGATGGTTTCCTACAAAGTTGAGAGAATACACCCCGGCCCACGTCCCCAGCCCCTGTGAAAAGGGAAAGCCACCGGTTACTACGGTTCTGAATTCAATGCCAAGTTCCTTCTCTCATGCTCACCCGGAGTGTCCAGCAGAGGGAGTCTCAAGGAGGTACTTAATAAAGAGAAAATTGTTTCATTTTAACACTCCAAAGACAGTGGGAGCATTGAGGGGAGCCCCCTCCCAGAGACACAGAGGAACAATGAATGCCGAACACGGGTTCCCCTGGCGTGTTCGCAGAGCCGCCGGCGCGCCCTGCTCTGCGCGGTGGAGTGATCAGAAATTTCGTTTTGTTTTGTGCAACGCTTAAATGGACCTTGTGTTCTTCAGAATCAAAGGGGAAAGCCCCTGGAATAACATCTCTCTGTTGCCTTCTAAACAGCCCCTTTGTTTCCAAGAGAGTCTGAAAAAAAATATTTACAGTCCATAGGTTATTTACAGCCTCGTTAGCCAGGGCCTGACTGGTAACTTTATTCCACCCAGAAACCTAATTCATTTGGAGCCCTGAAACTAATAACAGATTTTCTTTTCAGATAAGTCTTTCTTTCTTTTTTTTTTTTAAATCTGCCTCTTACAACAGAGATAAAACTATTAATGTGTTCCCTGTTTCACTCGCCTCCACTGTTCCCCGGATTTATAGGAGGATTAACATCTCTCCCCCCCTCCTCTCCGCTCCACACAAACCCTTTTCCCTCGCGCTGGCTAGTTCACCCACAGAATATCTGAACAAAACCGAAAGAAAGCCAGATGGACGGACGCTGAAAGTGTGCAAAGGCTGCTCTCCCAGTGATTTCACGAGGAAAACATCTTCGCGATGAAAAGGCTGAAAACACCAGGCCCACTTGGGTTTGAAATGCCTCCTGCCACCAGCACACAAAAACACACCGAAGTGTAAAAAACTTAGTTGGCTCTGGGCTGGCTTCTGGCTGGAGGCTGACAGAACTGACTGAAGGAAGAGGACAGCCAGGGCGTGCAGGGGGCAGTGGAGCGCTGTTGCCCTGCGTTTCCTTTCTTCCTAACGGCGGTCAAATCAGGGAAAGGGGGAGGGGGCGAATGACCCAACGCCAGGTGAAGGTGCGCCACACGGGTCTGCCCGGAGCGACCGAGAAACGCGTCTCGGCCGCCTCCCCGCCTCGGAAACCCCAACTACGCGTTCCCTTGCACGCGCTCATCCCGGGGCGATTTTAGTCCATTTCATTGTTCGGCCCGGGTTTGACACGGACTTCTCCTCTGGACCCCTTGTCGCCACCTGGCCCCGCGCGTTCCGGCCGCGCGGCCCCCCAAACCCGGAGAGCCGCGGAGAAGAAAGGGGCACGGGGCGGGAGCGGGGAGAAATGCGAAGGGAGCCGCCGGGAGGACGGAGTGCGAAGGAGATCGGCGTGAAGGTAATCTCCGAGGTGCGGGGGGAGGACGAAAGCCGCACCGCACCGCCTTTATTTATTCCCAGTAAATAAAAAGCACAGTCATGGGCCGGCCCCTTCCCAGGCGCCCCCCCCCATCCCAATTTCTTTTCTCCGGGCAGTAGCCCACCCTCGCACCCCGCCCCCCCCCACCCCTGGAAACGAGATCCTGTTCGATTCCGGATCCTGGCCGTTCTCTGGGCGAGGGAGGGCGTCGCGGGGAGGGGTGGGGAGCCGGTGAGAGCCGGGGGTGGGGCGCCGGGGGGCCGGGCGCCGGGGCCGCGGACCGGGCGCGGGGTGGGGGGGCTGCCCGGCGAAGGGCCGCGGGCAGAACAAAGCTGCGGGGGCCGCGGCGGCGCCGGGCGAGCGGGGTCGGCGGGCCGGGCGCCCCTTACCTTCGTACACGGGGGCCATCGGGGCCGGGGTGTCCGCGATTCATGGCAACGGAGAAGGGAACGCGGCGCGCGAGCTCGGCCCCCCCAGCCTCAGTCGGAATCTGCCATCTTGAGCCTGTGTCTCCGCTCTCGGCGCAGCCGGGGCCGCCGGCGCCCGCATCACCGCCTCACTTGGCCGGCGCCGGGGGAGGGGGCCGGGCGCCGCCGCCGCCGCCGCGGCCCGGGCCCTGCGCGGGGGGCTCCGGGGCGGCCGGGCGGGCGCAGCGGCGGAGGCCGAGGGGCCGAGCGGCCGCGGCCCCCGAGCGGGTCCGCGGTGGGGCGGGGAGCCGGGGCGGGCAGCGCGCGGCCAGTCCCCGGCCGGAGCTCAGCGCAGCATGGCTGTGCGTGGGGGCTTCGGCAAAAGTTGCACGGGAGGCGGAGGAGGGGCGGGAGGAGCCGGGAGGAGGGGCGGGGGGCGGGGGCCGGGGGGCGGGGAGCGGCGGCCGAGCGCGAGCGAGCGAGCGAGCGAGCCGCGGAGAGCGGAGTCCGCGCGCAATCGAGCGCCGATGGCACGGATGCGAGGCGGGGAAGGCCGAGCCGAGGGCACCGCGGCGGCGGCCGGGCCGGCGGGGGCGGGGCCGGGGGGCGGGGCTGCGGGGAGCCGCGGTCACAGGCAGAGCGGGCGGCTGGGCCGGGCAAGGTGTGCACGCAGCTCAGTTTTGCTTGGCGGAGGGAGCGACCAGAACTTTGCGCTTGTGTGTGTGCGCGCGCGCGCTGGGGCGGGAGGGGGAGCGAACTAGAAAGGGGGCGCCGGTCGGCAGAGTGTCTCCCTCTGGCGCACCTGGTGGGCGCTCCCTGACGGAGGTGTGAAAGGAATGAGAGAAGGAGTGGGCGCGAGCCGGCCTCGGAGGGAGGATGAGCGAGCGGAGGAGCCTGAAATGCATATGAGGTCAGACAGGCAGAAGCCACGCATTCCGCGCACGCTTAAGAAATGCAGCACCCGGTGGCTTCCGAATTCCTGCGGGAACCGGCCTCCCCCGCCGTCCTCACATCCACTGTGTCCTTAGGGGCTCTTCCATCACCCGGACAGGTGGTTCCCGCCGACTCATTCCCAGGCCGCTGCTCCTCACCCTCTCTCCGATCCAGGCTTCCGCTAACCCTTCTCCAGCCGGGAGCCTCTCCGGGTTCACTTCTGCAGCCCGCTCCCGGGTTCTTTGACAGGCCGCCGGGCCACGGCCTACGAATTAGCAAGACTGGACTCCTCCCCTCTTAGGCAGTTTGAAAACTGTGGGATGCGACACAATAATTGATCACGAAATAAATTCAATGGATGGCAATTGGCTTTTAAAAAGTGAAATGTAACAGAATAGAAAATATTAGGATCCGTTGCCCTTAGTAAGGTCAACTATGGTTTCATAAACCTTTTGTTTCAGTTATACATTGGACAGCTGTACTGTACTGTGGTGTAAATTGTATTTCCTAATACTGGAAAAAAGTTTACAATCTGTGTTTGGGGGTGTAAAATAATGATCTCCAACACTGTACAACTTCCCTAAAAACAGACCCATTGTATTCTCACTACCACTCTTCATTCTCAGCCTCCATAGCCCATGACCCTCCCATCCAATCCCTCGAAAAACAACAATAACAAAAAGACAAGCCCTTTCGTACACTTTTCTAGTCTTGTTAGTGGCACATTGTTCCTCCTTCAAGTCAGCATGGCCTTCGACTCTGCCATCTTCCTTGCCCACATATTCAAGGCTGCACTCCCTACTGTGTTTCTTACCCCTAATGCCACTCACCTTTGCAGACTCCCAGTCACCGCTGCTAAAACAGGACTCATGGGTCATCTGCACCAGGCCTTCCCTTTTCAAATGAAAGGGATGAGGCCCAGAGAAAAGAAGTTTGTTGCCCAGTGTTACACCGTATTAAATCTTAGGGCCATGTCTCTCGGCTCCCAGTCGCGTGTTCCTCACTTCACACCATTCCTTCATCTCTGTCTCCTTAACCCCCGGCCACCCTTCACTGGCCTCAGCCCGGTCCCCATAAGCACTGCCTTCTTCCTAACACACAGTCTTGCCCATGCCAGCCTCCTGCTCACATCTGACAAGGACACGACCTTTGCACTCAGGGCTCAGGTTCCTTGCTCTTTGGCTTGTAGTCAAGGCAGGCAGGCCCTGACTTACCTTTCCAGGCACATGAGTTGAACAAGTCTCTGCCTCTCCAGCCAGACTGGTTTACCCGTGGTCCTCTGCCAGCATTGCCCATCTGTGCCGCTGTGTCTTTGCCCAGCCTGCTACTTTCCCACCAACAGTGCCTTCTCTGTCTTCTCTCTTTAACCAGATTCTACCTTTGCCTGACTCATTTCTTCCACAGAATAGCCCGAGGTAGCATGAGATGATAAAGACAGACTTGGGTTCAGGTCCCAGCTCTTCCACTTAGTAGCTGTGTAAATTTGATTCCAAATTAATCTCTCAGACTTTCAGTTCCTGTATCTCAATTGTGAGAACAACAACGACAATAATAATAACAAATGATTTTCTTGTACCTATAAGTCTATATCACGGCCTTTTCAATATAAGAAATGCCCAAATCTTTTATAAAAATTTATCTGAGCTAAACTGACAATATGTGCTGGGAGCAAGATCTCAAATTCTCTGGAGAACAATAGCTTTGTAATTTCTTTTACACATTTGAAATTCAGGAGGGAACATAAGGAAGATTACATGGAGGCGAGAGAAAGCAAGGCGGGATAGTTAACAGTTAACAAGGTTGTATTCTCTCTTGAGAGTAAATACCCTTGTCCAGGGGTATTATTTCTGGCGTCTCAAAGATGTGTTAACCTAGATGCACAAGAACAGTGAGCAGAGCCAGCTTCAAAACCATTCACTAGGACCTGGACTTCCGGCCAAGATGGAGGCATAGGTAGACACACTATGCCTCCTTGCACAACCAAAAGAAGGAGAACAACAAATTTAAAAACAAAAACAACCAGAACTGACAGAAAATCAAACTGTATGGAAGTCCGACCACCGAGGAGTTAAAGAAGAAACATTCATCCAGACTGGTAAGAGGGGTGGAGATGGGCAGCCGGGCAGAGAGGACTCGCCACAAGGCGGTGGCTGGTGGGCCAGGCAGCCCCAAATTCGCGTGCGGATAAACCAGGAGGAACAACTGGGGAGCAAGACAGACTGCACAACCCAGGGCCCCAGTGCGGGGAAACAAAGCCTCAAACCTCTGACTGAAAACACCTGCGGGGGTTGAGGCAACAGCAGGAAAACTCCCAGCCTCACAGGAGAGTTCCTTGGAGAGACCCACAGGGTCCTAGAATGTGCACAAACCCACCCACCAGGAATCAGCACCAGAAGGGCCCCCTTGGTTTGTGAGAAGTGGGAGAAGTGACTGAAATCCATCAGAGAGCCCAGCAAGCACCATTGTTACCTCTCAGACCCTTCCCCACATACAGCATCACAACACAGCGACTGGGTTGCCCTGCCCGGGTGAACACCTAAGGCTCTGCCCCTCACTACCTCACAGGCACGTCAAGACAAAAAAAAATGGCCCAAACGAAAGAACAGAGCAAAGCTCCAGAAAAAATACAACTAAATGATGACGAGATAGCCAACCTATCAGATGCACAGTTCAAAACACTGGTAATCAGGATGCTCACAAAATTGGTTGAATATGGTCACAAGTTAGAGGAAAAAATGAAGGCTATGCTAAGAGAAATAAAGGAAAATGTACAGGGAACCAACAGTGAAAGGAAGGAAACTGGGACTCGAATCAACATTGCGGACCAGATGGAAGAAAGAAACATTCATCCAGAACAGAATGAAGAAACAAAAATTCAAAAGAATGAGGAGAGGCTTAGGAACCTTCAAGACATCTTTAAATGTTCCAACATCTGAATCACAGGGGTGCCAGAAGGAGAAGAGGAAGGGCAAGAAGTTGAAAACTTATTTGAACAAATAATGAAGGAGAACTTCCCCATTCTGGTCAAGGAAATAGACTTCCAGGAAGTCCAGGAAGCTCAGAGAGTCCCACAGAAGTCGGACCCAAGGGGGAACACACCAAGGTACATCATCATTACATTAGCCAAGGTAAAAATGAAGGAGAGAATCCTAGAAGCAGCAAGAGATAAGGGGACAGTAACCTACAAAGGAGTTCCCATCAGACTGTCAGCTGATTTCTCAAAAGAGACCTTACAGGCAAGAAGGGGCTGGAAAGAAGTATTCCAAGTCATGAAAGGCAAGGACCTACATCCAAGATTACTCTGTCCAGCACAGCTATCATTTAGAATGGAAGGGCAGATAAAGTACTCTCCAGATAAGGTCAAGTTAAAGGAGTTCATCATCACCAAGCCCTTATTATATGAAATGTTAAAGAGACTTATCTAAGAAAAATAAGATAAAAAACATGTATAGTAAAATGACAGCAAACTCACAATTATTAACAACCACACCTAAAACGAAAACAAAAAGAAGCTAAGCAAACAACTAGAACAGGAACAGAACCACAGAAATGGATATCACATAGAGGGTTGTCAGCGGGAGAGTGGGTGGGGAGAGAGGGGGAAAAGGTACAGAGAATAAGTACCTAAATGGTAAGTAGAAAATAGACAAGGGGAGGGTAAGAATAGTATGGGAAATGTAGAAGCCAAAGAACTTATATGTGTGACCCATGGACATGAACTAAAGGGGGGGAATTTGGGTGGGAGGGGGTGTGCAGGGTTGAGGGGAATGAAGGGGGGAAAATGGGACAACTGTAATAGCATAATCAATAAAATATATATAAAAAAACCCACTCACTAAAGAAGTTATAGGCCTGGGACATGACTACCCACTACAACCTGCCCAGTGAGGAATTTATGATCAGACCACCCTGTGAGGTCACTTTCTATAGAACCCCCTTTTTGTCCACAGCCTTTACCATAAAGCCATTATCTCTCTTCCCCTCTCCAGTGCTGTGTAACGGAACTCCCCATAGCGCTGGAAATGTATCCATGGGTGGCTGTCGAGCACACGAAATGTGGCTAGTGTGAGTGAGGAGCTGAATTTTAATGGCCAGGTGTGGCTAGTGGCTCCCGTAACCAGACAGCACGTCTCTGAACTGCAGGCTCAACCGGTGCAGAGACCGTGCTGACCTCGTTTGACAGCACATCCCCAGCGACCAGCACCCTGCCTGGCCCTCGGTAGGTACTGCACAAATGTTTGTTGAATGAACAGTGGCGGCCATGGATGGCGTGCTCATTGGTGCCAAGCACCACACTGAAAACTCGACAGAGGTAATTGGACATGGTCCTCCCCACACCCCCCTGAGGTGGGATGAGGTTAGAGATGGAGTTTGCCCAGAGTGCTGGCAGATAGCAGAGGTTCAATAAAAGGTTGTTACGGCCATTAGTAAGACCTCCCCGTGAATATGACCATCCAAACCATCTGTCTCTCTCCTTCCTCTAGGCTTCCAGGGCAGTTCCTGCCTGTCACACACACACACACACACACACACACACACTGTTGTTCCATGGCCTGCCTCGCCCCGACGGCTGACTTTCCTCGATGTAGGGGCCCCGTTCCCACAACTGGGTCGGCAGCATCTTGGGACAAAGCCCATGGCACATCCGTTGACGCCCCTCGGCTCAGGGTTTGCACTGATGAGCGTTCAGTAGCTGCCTCCAACTTCGTCCCTGTGCTGTCCGGCCGTGAATCTCATCCCCTGGAATACCCCCTCTGTTCTCCCAAAATCTGTGTGTTAAAATCCCAGCCCCCAGTACCTAAGAAGGTGACTGCTTCTAGGTTTTTTCCTTTAATCTTCACCTACAGATATGTTTATTGATTTTAGAGAGAGAGGAAATGAGGGAGGAAGAGAGAGAGAGAAACATCAATCAGTTGCCTCTTATACGCATCCCCACCAGGGATCAAACCCGCAACCTAGGCATGTGCCCTGACCAGGAATCAAACCCGTAACCTATCGGTGTATATTCCAACTACTTCACCACCCGGCCAGGGCTGGAAGTAGGATCTTTAAAGGGGTAATTAAGTTAAAATGAGGCATGGGAGGTAGTGCTAACCAATATAACTGGTGTCCTTATAGGAAGAGAATCAGCGTGCAGAGACACAGAGGTGAGACCGTGTGAAGACGCAGGGAGAAGGCGGCTGCCATCTGCAAGCCGAGGAGAGACGCCACAGAAGAAACCAGCCCCACCGACACTTTGATCTCAGACTTCGAGCTCCCAGAGCTGTGAGAAAATACATTTCGGTTGTTCAAGCCACACAGTCTGTGACGCTACATTCTGGCAGCTCTAGCAAACCTGTACACCCCACCGAGGGCGAGTTGAAATGAAGAAAGATTGCTTGGGTGAACTGAAAACCCCGTGAGGGTGGCCTCCTTCCCACGGGCATGCACGTGAGTCCCACGAAAGGAGAAGAAGATGGGGCCAGAGAAGCTCCCACCTCCTCCTCAGACCACAGCGACTGAAGCTGTGTACCACGTATGTACGTGTCTCCTCCTATGCACGTGGTACACAGCTTCAGTGGCTGCATGTACCACTTCAGGAAAAACATGCAGTCGGGTTAGCACGCTAGGCATCCCGTAGATGGAAAATGGTACTTAAAGGAATTCAGATCTGTGTGTGTGTCACGAATGAGCAGACCGAGTCCACCTGTCTGTCTTCCCTGCAGCGACGGCGGACGCGTGGCAGCAGGCTGCAAGCCCCACAGGGAACCCCACTGCGGGAGAGCGTGGCAGCAGGGAGCGGAGAGGGTCTGAGACAGAGCCCCGAGGGGCCCCGGCGTTTAAAAGATTTAAGGTGTTCCTGCGGAGGCCCAGGCGGGAAGGAGGAGGACAACCTGGACAGAGTGGTACCTGGACGCAGCAGGACGAAGACCATGGCGAAGGGAGGCGTGGTCAGCAGTGCTGGGTGCTCCTGGGAGGCGACATCAGATCCTCCCAGTGGGGAGGCCTCCCCTGGACAGAGCAACAGGAGTTCCGTGAGTGACTTTGGTGAGACCCGCTGTGAGGGCAGTGCAGGGTTGCTGAAGTCAGCCCCAGAAGCATTTGTGGTGTTTGACAGAGGCAGGCGGGGGGTGTAGTGTGAAGAGGGTGAGGGAGGAGCCAGAAGGGGGCACCAGAGAGTACTGTGGGTAGAGCAGGACGGGAGTCCCCAGGGCCAGACCCTGACAAGGGTCCAGGAGCCGTTCCGTTTGGCTGGAGACGGCACACACGGCATTTTATTTATTTAATAAACGCATTAGCACTGAGTGTTCCGAGGAGTTTGCACACATTAACTCACTGAATACGTTTGCTGTTTTTGAGCAACGTGGAACCCGAGGTTGCCAAACAAAACAAAAACAAAAACAGTCGGCTGCCGTGTGCCGCGAGAAACTGCAACAAGGCGCGAGCACAGGAAAGGACTCAGGAACCACCTCTGCCGGTCACCTCTTCTTCACACGCCTTCCCACAGAACGGCGCACGCGGCGTCTTGCCCCGGGGTGAGCAGAGTGAGCACGGGGGAGCTTCGGCCCCGTCTGCGGTTCATTTTGCTTGCAGGGCCAGTGACAGGGGGTCTGTTCCCCACTTGTGCCTGTAGCTGTGAAAACGCACCCCACCCCAGAACCTTCCGGGCCAGGAGACAGGGGTGTTTCTCTTCGGGGCGGATCTGTCTGTTCAGGTGTGCGTGTCATTGTCACTCTCAGGGCGTCCGCAGGGCGGCGTCTGTGCTCGCATCTCGTCTGGACTCGGTGAGCGCTGCCCCGTGTTCCCACCCGGTCCCTGTTTCCGTGCTGGCGGACCCCGCACCCCGCAGTTCTGTCTTTGACGGTCGTGTCTGGGGGCAGGTGGTTCCCTTTTCAGGACCTGTCTTTGTGGTCACACCTGTCCTTGTACGTGTCTGTTTCGTCTCTCTTTGCGACAACAAAGCGTCTCTCTGTGCCTGCCTCATTTTCCTTTTCTCTGTATCTCCTTCCTACCTCTTCCACACGTCGTTTCTCTCCTCGATCTCCTCCCCTCTTTTTATTTTGTATGATTCTGTCTCTTCACAAGCCATAACACAGACCTGTTTGTTTTGGTTATCCCTAAGAAATTACTTCATATTTCTGCATTAAACCTTTGATCGGCTTAAATGATACATTTTCTGAATAGACTGTTGTTCGATAACTACAGGAAACCCTTAAATGAAAGCTTGAGCGATAGGGTGTCACATTGACGGGTGTGTGGACGAGAAAACATCGCATTCAAATGAGGCGACGATAGGCCCTGGCCAGTGTGGCTCAGTTGGTTGGAGCCTCCTCCTGCACACCAAAATGTTGCAGGTTCGGTTCCCAGTCAGGGCACATGGCTGGGTTGTGGGTGCATTCGGGAGGCAACCAGTCAGTGCTTCCCTCTCTCCCTCTCTCTCTCTCTCTCTCTCTCTCTCTCCCTCCCTCCCTCTCTCCTTTCTCTCTCTAAAATCAATAAACATGTGGTGACCATTGGAGTTCTGGTTCTGAGGGCAGAGGGCAGTGTGAGTTTGGCCAGGGGAAGGGAATCCGACATGGGAGCGGTGGTCTTGCAGAAATTACACTGGCCCCTCAGGGGGACGGGAAACATCATTCACTTTCTGCTTCTACTCCGAGAAGGAAAATGATCAGACGTCTGAGCGGGGACACAGGAACGGCAACGAGAGGCCAGAACGGTTTTCAGCAGAAAGGGGTTACAGCTCAAAGAAAGGCAGCCGGCTCTGAATGTAAAAGAAGCTGGGACACGGCTGCTCAGAAGAGAGGGGGGTTCTGTTGGAGGCTGCGGGGACGGCAGAGGGGGATGGGTCTGCACCCGAGGAGCAGCTCGGAGAAGCGTCTGGCCCTGCAGAGAGAATTCTGGGGTGGGGGCAGGCGGGTCGTACGTAGCCTGGTTTGCCAGACACGCAGTCCGGGCTGAACTGGGACGGACGAGGCAGAAAACAGCACAGAGAGAAGCCGCTGGCTTGGGAGTGGGTGTGGAAAGGAGAGCAAGCACAGGAGAGCTCTTTGCCAAGCCCAGGAGACCTGCTAAGGCACGTGAAGCCCACCTCAGTGGTTAACCAGTGGGACCGTGCGTTTCTGGGCTGCATGCAGTTCGTATCGCCTAACTTCCTTCCACTCACGTGAGCAAGAGTGTCCCTAAGCAGCAACCCCGAGGGACGAGGACCGATGACCGGAATGGCAGAGGGCTGTCAGGACTGACTCTTCTCCCTGATGCTGCCGGCGACCTCTTTGAGGCCAACTCCAGTGCCTCCCCTGCCTGACCTCTGAGCAAACCTTAGACACTGTTAATCCCTGCAGTTCTTCCTGAATCCATGGCCTCCTTGGATTCTTCACAACGATGCACTTCTAAAGTTTCCCTCCGATGCTCCTTCTCTCTTCCTTTTTTACACCCAAAAATTCAATTCATGGAATGTTCAGTGACTGCTTACTCTGTGTTAGATTCTACAGCAGGAGCTGGGAGGCTAAAAGGGAATAAGCCACGGCCCCTACTTTCAAGGAGCTCAAGTTCAAAACCACAGGGTGAAGAGTGCAACACAACACGATGAGTGCAGCAGTCAAAGGATTTGCTTGGTCAGGAGCTAGCACAGAGGGTCAGATGACAAGGAGCATGTTTTATGGGATGGAGGAGTTGGCACGGCTGTGCCCTGAAGCATGAATCCTGGCAGGGGCGACCGCAAGGACAAAGGCACGCGTGCCCCAGAACCATAAGGAGTCACAGCATGGCTACATGCCAGGAACAAGCCCAGGCAGTGGTCAGGGCTGGGGCTGGGACAGAGGCGGGGTCTCGTTCGTCAGGCCAAGGGATTTGGACGTGATTCTGTACTCACAGGTGTGGGGGGGGAATGAGTGAGGTTTTGAACCTGCTGGGTCTAAGGTTCCTATGAGCGAGTCAGACGGGGATGGGTGTGAGGGGCTGGAGCTCAGCCCAGAGCCTTTCACGGGAGATGGCATTTTGCTTTCTGAGTCATCAATACATAATGGGTAGTTAATCCACAGGGTCTACGAGATCCCACAGGAAGAAGTTCCCTGGTAGGGTTTCTCAAAGAGTGGTCCTCGGGTCACCTGCGTCAAACCCCGACAGGGGCTTTCTGAAGATGCAGATTCCTCAGGCAGAACCCCAAGCCTACTACTGACTCAGGAACCTCTGGGGGCAGTGCCTGGGGATGTGCATTTTAACTCCACTCTCCGGGGGACAGGTATCGCGGAGGATTTCAATAGGCGGTGGAATGGAAACAGCCCCTGCTGCGGGAAGAAGCTGAGAGGCCACAGGACGGAACCGGGAAGGGGGAGACCCAGTCGTCTGAGAGGCCGTGTGACACCCTCTGCAGTGAGGGGGGTCCACGCAGGGTCCCGACGTCTTGGAGCTGAACTGACCTTGGAGCCGCTGACCTGCAGGCTTCCGGTTAACGCAGCGGAGCGGGGTCTCTTCTCTGTGAAGCCAGTTTCAGCTGGGCATCTCATCCCTTACCGCCGACCGCATCTTAGGTAATGTAAGGGAGAATGGAATCTTCCCATTCCCAGACAGGGTTGTATCATGGTCCATGTGGAGATCTTTCACAAATGTCTCAACAGCATCTGCCGTACACCTGAACCCAACACAAAATAATATTTAAAAACAGTTCAGCAGCCTCAAAGCGTAATTAAAAAAAACCCAAAAAACAAAAAACAAAGGCTCTTTTGTCACAGAATCCTGAGGATTTTCACTGTACGTGTGAGGTGAATTTGAATTTTTAAAGAACTTCTTCTGAGACGTGGCGGCATCCTCAGCCACAGCCCATGCGCCGTAGGTGGTGCACTTAATCAACATTCAGAAACTGCTGGTTTGCTTATCCTTCCTCTCGGAGACACACGCCGCCTGGCTGATTTGAGCCAGCTTGGCTGGTTGAGTTGGGTATTCAAAGAGAAGACAGAGCAACAACAGAAAGTAAGGTTTTTCAACTATTCTTGAATGCCCTTGTGTTCTTTGACACGATGTAGTTGACCCTGAACTTCTGAGTCTTAAATCCTCCGTTAAACAGACACTGAGTGGGGAGGCAGTAAGCAGCAGGGAGGGGTCTTGCATCAGTGAGGTAGGCTGGTCAGTACAGTGGGGTCTCACTGGGCGCCTGTGCTTTGGGCAAAGCTAGGGCCAGGGCAGGGGGTGGGTTGCCAAGGGGGGCATGTGCCAGAAACAGATTCAACAGGGCATTTGGCAGGAGACCAGGGCTGCCCACTCTGTTTAGATATGCATCGTTAGGCAATTCTGTTGTTGTGCAAACACCAAAAAGTGCACCTACACAAACCTAGGCTGCATGGCCTATCACATACCTAAGCCGTAGGCAAGGGTGTCCAACCTTTTGGCATCTCTGGGCCACACTGGAAGAAGAAGAAGAGTTGTCTTGGGCCACCCATTAAATACATTGCAACACATAATCACAAAAAAACCTCATCATGTTTTAAGTAAATTTACGATTTTGAGTTGGGCTGCATTCACGGCCATCCCGGGCCGCATGCGCCCGTGGGCCATAGGTTGGACACCCCTGCGTACGGGACAGCCGATTGCTCCTTGGCTACAAGCCTGTGCCGCATATTAGTATATGAGCCAACATGAGGTCAGATCCAGCACAAGAAAAAGTGTTGCAATCAAGAGACCTGGTAGGCAGGGGATGGCTGAGGCTGCTGCTGGTGGGACACAGCACACGGTTACACAGCAACCGTTTTCGTTGTATGTGTAGAAAGAGTACGCTCTGGAATAATGATAAAAACTACAGTACCGTAAACACAGTCGTGTGTTACCACCAGGTACTACGTACCGGGTGTCACTGTAGGTGCTGTACTTTCGTACGGCCGGCTGTGCAGGCGTTTGTTTACACCAGTGTTGCCACAGACCGTGAGTAATGCTCGAGCTACGATGTTGTGACAGCTATGCCACCATTCTGAGTGACAGGAATTTCTCGGTTCCATTCTACTCTCGTGGGCCCACTGTCCTAGACTGAACCGTCACCACGCAGCACGTGACTGTATTGCACCTTGTGCCCCACCTCCACCGTCCCCCACTGCACCCCGTTTTCCCTTAGCCAGTGTTCTTAACTTATATTTGTGCCATGAACTCCTTTGGTAGTCTTGTGGGACCTAGGGAGCCCTTCCCAGAATAATATTTCTAAATGCATTGAAAAATGTATAGGGTTACAAAAGAAACCATGTATTTCTTTAAGGATGCATTAAATAACAAGATCCAATCAGGGGCCTAGTAGTTACAAAGTAGCAATGAATCGAAATGATAGTTCAGCATACCTGTAACAACTACCACTAGGATATAGAAACATCTGTGACTTCTGTTGGTAACAACATCATAGGCACGGCAATTAATCCTGTGGCTGGTTGCCTATGGTCAAATTGGAAGAGTTAAGGTTAATGAAAATAATGGAGTTATTTTTTCCCCACTCCTGTTCACAGACGCCCCTGGATTCGAGCCATGAATCCCTTGTGGGGATGGGACTCCAGCATAAGAATCCCTCCCCTTCTCCTGTTCTGCTGTTTTTGTGTAGCATTTACTGCCTCCTAACATCGTATCTTTTTAATAAAAAAATCTATCATAGATTTTTTATTGCCTGATTCTCCTTATTAAAATGTAAGCCCCACAAAGTCAGGAGCTTCTGCCTTTTTGTTCACGGCCGTGTCCCTGGTATTTAGAATGGGAGGCCCCATACACACTGGTCACACGAATGAGACAAAAGCCACCAGCACCCGAGTCTAGGCAGAGTGGCAAGGAGTCTTCCTGATTTCTCTTATTTCCATTTCCCCTGTCTTCTCTGTTTTCTGTCCTCTTTCTTTTACCTTCACAATTCCTCTCTCCCTTAAAAAAAAAGTCACCTCTTTTTCGTTTCTCTCTCATTCAACCAGTATGCACAGACAATGCACTTGGGACAAGACAGACGCAGACTCGGGGCTCCTAGAGCTCATCGCCACGGGCCAGTGGCTAAGCACATGGCCTTTAGGCCGACCCAAGTTCAATGTCTGCCCGTTCATCCTGGCTGCCCTCTGCCTATGGGCAAACCTCTTACCTCTCTGTGACTGTTTCTTGCACATCATTTGGCCACTTGTCAGAGGGCTACGTGTCTGGTGCTGCGCTCGTCACCTGTGCTGCCCTGGGGAGGAAGATGAGCGAACACACGGAAATATGGCGTGACAGGTGTTCTGAGGGACCGAGGGCCAGTGCTGTAGGGAGGTAACCCGAAATCCCGAGCCCCATGAAGTTCGACTGCCACAGTCAAAAGCAGCCCATTAGCTCAGAGTAATTTCAAATAACTTCCAGTGAGTTTTTTGCATTTCTGGAACAACACCGAGGGGAATTCAAGGTCATGGGCATGGCAGGAACTGTTAAATCTCTCTTTATTCCACTCAGGCGTTGTTTCCCTCTCCCGGGCACCCCAGCATGTCACTGCATGGACTGACTTCTACTCTCACCTTCCCGTTGCGGCTACAGGAAGGGGCAGGGCACGAATTTCAGGACTTGTGAGTTCAGGGTTCTCTCGGGGAGACAGTGGGGAAGAAAGCGCTGTGGGTGCCCTCTTGGTGCTAATTTTACTCAGACTCAGGAGCACATGGCATGGGGGACATCCTGAAGGAAGTGATGTGTAAGCCAAACCCCGTTGGGGAGAAAGGCAGCGTGGAGGTCTGCAGAACAGGAGATCGTGGCCCTGAACAGGGTGGGGGTGGGGTGTCCAGTCTCCCTGGAGCACAGGGGATGGGTAGGAGGCCAGCAAGAGAAAGAGCGATGAGGAAGGTGGGATGGAGACAGGTCAGAGGGCTAAGGGGGCCGAGTTACGCAAGGCCCCAGAACCCCCATCGAAGATGTCCAGCCCTGACTGGTGTAACTCAGTTGGTTGGGCGTCGCCTCACAAAGTGAAGAGTCGCCGGTTCAATTCCCAGTGAGGGCACATGCACGGGTTGTGGGTTTGATGCTCAGTTTGGGTGCATACAGGAGGCAACCAATCGATGTTTCTCTCTTGCACTGATATTTTCTCCCTCTCTTTCTCCCTCCCTTCCCCTCTGTCTAAAAATAAATAAAACTCTTTGTTTTAAAAAGAGAATTGTTCAGAGATAATGGGGAGTTAGGGAGTGACAAGACCAGATGGAGGCTTTGAGAGCTGTTATTGGCTGCAGAGTGGGACTGGATCGGGGGCCACAAGATTAGGAGGCAAAGGGTGAGGGAGGCCCGGGCCCCGGTGACGGCCTCAGGAGAAATGACTGGTTTCCAGAGACACTGCAGAGCTGGAGTCTGGAGGACTTAATGACGAAGAGTGTGGGGGGCAGGGGAAGTGTTATTGTGTCCCCCTCCCCGCCCCCCCAAATATGCTGAAGCCCTAACCCCCAGCACTCAGAACGTGACCTTATTTGGGAACCAGGCCACTGCAGATGTAATTCATTAACTTAAGATAAAGTCTATGGAGCGGGGGCGGGGCCGGTTCAACACGACTGGTATTCTTTTAAGAAGCCGGCGGTGGGAAGGCAGGGACCCAGAGGATGTCACGTGAAGGCAGGATTGGAGCGATGCACCTACAAGCCAAGGAATGCCAGAGGTTGCCAGTGAACCACAGAAGGTAGAAGGAGGTAAGAAAGGATTCCCCTATGAGTCACGGAGGGAGCGTGGCCCTGCAGACACCTTGCTTTCCAACGTCCAGCCTCTGGAACCATGAGACAGTACATTTCTGGTGTTCAAGCGGCTCAGCTGGGGGTGCTCAGCCACAGTGACTCAGGGAAACTGATACAGGGCGAGTTTAGCCACGTCGTTGTGGTGAATGTTTAGGCTACTCTGAACTTTTATTATGAACATTACAGAGCAAGAGGCACTGGGAAATGTGAACAAAAATTAGAAGGAAACCCAGAAAAAAGCTTTCAAAGGATTCAGAAACACCCCAAGACTCACAGCTGGCGCCGGAAGTCAGCACACTAGCTCCACAGGTTTGCTGCATGGCTTAGAGAAGGTGATGTGGACAGAGTTGCTGTGTACACATAAAGCACTCTGGCTATGTCTCCGTTTTAATTAAATAAAAACCTTGAGGCCATATGTTGGAGTTGCCCACACAAACAGTTCCCACCCACAGGCCTGGTAACATAATGTGCAGAGCTCAGTGCAAAATGAAACCGTGGGGCCTCTTGCTCAGAAATTATTAAGAGTTTCAAGCAAGTGACAGCAGAGCATGAGGCCCAGCACACGGCCCCGTGACCTGCACCCATGAGGCTGTCCTGCCTTTGGGTGTCCCGGGAGCCAGACCTACGTGTAGGTCTTCGAATGCAGAGTAGTAGCATCGGGGTGGACACGTGGAGGGAAGAGGGGAGGAGAGGAGGAAGGGCTTAGGGTTGAGAATGAAGGGATGCTCATGGTGTACTGAATGGAGTTCCCCTGACCCGGGGTGGGGGGGGAGACAGGTGTTAGGTATTGATTATGAGTACAAAATATGTTCCGGCCAGGATCCTAGGCTTTCAGAACAATTTGCCTTGGCTATAAAGTCAAGGTAGCTTTAGTTTTGTTTTTTAATTTAAAGATTTTATTTATTTATTTTTAGAGAGGGAAGGGGTGAGAGAGAGGGAGAGAGAGAGAGAGAGAGAGAGAGACAGAGAGATATCAATGTGTGGTTGCTGGGGGTCATGGCCTGCAACCCAGGCATGTGCCCTGATTGGGAATCGAACCTGAGATGCCTGGTTCGCAGCCTGCGCTCAATCCACTGAGCCACGCCAGCCAGGGCAGCTTTGGTTTTAAATGCAAGTGCGGACTCGGAGGATCCCCTGGCTTCCACGTTTGGAGGAAACATTCAAACTCCTCCACTATCACCACTACCGTGAACAGCATTGTGATGGTCTTTGAAAGCTAGAACAGCCCCAATCCCGCTAATTTCCTTTCACCCTCCTTCCTTTCCCCAACTGTTCTCTCGTTATTCTTCATCCCAGCTTGAAAGCAAGAGAAACAGAAATAATTCTTTAGAAAGTTTCCAGTCCTGTCAAGACGACACAAGTTATGTCGTGTGAGTGCTTAGGCAAGAACAGTGGAGGAAAAGGCGGCGCTCAGGAAAGAAAAACGGTCCCTTAAACTCGTGGAGGGAAGAAGGCAAGTCGGCTCCGTGAGCAAAGCGAAGGAAATCACACGGTGGTGAGGGAGGGGCTTCACGTCAGGCCGTTTTTCTTGCTCCGATGCGCTGGTTCCCATGGATAAGGTCGGTGGTTCAGGACTTCATAGTAAATTTGTATCCGTTAGTGGATATTAAGAGAATGTGTAACAATGACTACACTACTCACTGATACAGGTTCCGGATTTTATATCTGAATACTCCTTGTTAGAAAACCAAAAGCACTCATATCACGGACGCCATTGCCTGTGTGGAACAGCTGAGCTGCCGTGACAGGTAAAAGCTACCAGTGTCCCAACACAGGAGATGCTGGTTTCTTGCTCTTGCAACAGCCAGAGGGGTGTTTAGCAGGCGGCCTTCCACGCAGTGAGTCAGGGGCCCAGGCTCCCCCCACCCGTGTGGGGGACCTCGGAGTCTTTCGCTTCCAGCTGGCAGACAGGAGGAGAGAACGGAGGATCCCCCGTGGGAGGGTTTTATGGGCCCGGCCTAGGATCGGTGGCCCTGTCTCCCATCCACACTCCAACGGCGACAACTCCGTCACACGGCTGCCTCTGAACGCGACGGCAGCTGAGACATGGGTCTCTCTGAGCGTCCGAGAGGAAGAGGACATGCGTTAGCCAGCGCCACGCCATCCCGGCCACTGCTGCGCAAAGCCGGGCCGCCAGGGGTCCCGCTCCTGCCCTGGGTCACAATCAAAGACACGTAGGTTCAGCCACAAGAATTAAAATACACTGAAGCGGAAACCCAGCCGCAGAGAAATTCAAGAAAGCGTCAAAGAAGAATGATCGTCTTAACGCACACGCCAACTTTGGGGGTCTTCCCGCATCTCCCTTTTCGGGGTGGGCGGCCTCCACGTGTGGCAGCTGCCGCCCTCCCCAAGTCCCCGCCGCCCTGCTCCGCGCATGCGCACCTCTTTGCAGCGTAGACCGCCCGGGCTTTCCCCTCGCTTGCACCCCGACCGGGCCTCATGCAACCCTCTGGGCCTCCATTTCCCCATCTGTGAAACGAGCAACCACATTGAGCCCTAACTGAACCAGAGGACCTTCCTGCGTTGAACCCTCTACGAATATTTAGTAGGTGCCCACTGGGCTAGGCCAGCTCGAACATTCCCAGACACCATGAAAAGGCAAAAAGCTTAAATCAGGGACTGTGTCCCGGTGTGGCTTGACATTGTGTAAGAATCCACACCCCGTGAGTTTCATAGTCCCTTTATGTGAGTAGAAGATACGGGTTTTCTGATAAAAACGAGGTTGTTATCTTTGTGTCATTAAGAAATAGTCAACGAAACGGACTGTCATTCACGAAACACGGCTTACAGAACTGGAACTACCCTTTCTGTTAAAAAGGAACTGACCCACTTTGGGGAAATGGCAACATCTAACGAGCAGGCAAGGGAACGCTTGCTTCGTTACCGTCGTTAGTGGCCAAAGGCCGGGACGGATCCAGGTGGGATGCCGTGCCCATGCGCCCCGGCGTGGAGTATGAGGCAGCTGTCGACAATAATGAATTTGAACTCTGTCCACTGACCTGAGGGGAGTGACCTTGACGCATTAAGCAAGGAGAGTAAGTTTCAGAGTAAGGTGCCTTGTGTAATGCGGTATTTGTAAAAGACACTCGAAAATCGCTATCTAGGCCGCGGTGCAGAAGGCTTCACACCCTGTCTCTCCAAATCTATTGCTACATGGGCTGGGAAGGGAGACCATGGCAGAAACGTGAGATAATTCACTTTTTTTTAAACACATCTTTAGAGTGTTTTTTCACTTCTTGCCATGAATGCCTATTTTGGAATTAGAAGAAATTTTAAGTGTGATTTTAAAACATTGAAACAAAGAAGCACTTAAAAGGATGTGTGTCAATGGGCGTCGATCCTCATGGAATTTAGAAAAAAAAGAAGCGAAGGGGAAGAGGTGCATCCGTGTGTCTCCGACATAACCTTCCTTTCCCGGGGAAGAGGTTTTCCAAAGCCCAGTGCGGCTTGTGTGTGCCTCAGGCCCTGCTGTTCTCGACAAACTGCACCCAAGACCTTGATCCCGTGTTCAGCAAGCTGCCTCTTCACCAGTAATGTAATGTGTCAGATTCACATGTATCAGAAGGTAAGTGCCCTCAGTGTAAATATTGGGGTCTTAGAAGAATGGACATCTCTCAGTCTAAATGAACCCATCGGTATTCTGATTTGGGGGGAAGACAAAGCCAGTCTGTGGTTAGGTTTAGGATGGGTCAGCTCACCAGATCCTGACAGCTCTTGGGGAAACTGGAAAAACAGAGTTACCCAAATCACAAGGCTGAGACCTGGGCCCCCCACACCCCTGACTCCACAAGATTGTTCAGAGACACAGTCCGTGTGAGGCTGAAGGTCAACCCGCCTGTCCCGGGATCTGTTTGATGGCTTGTTCCAGGCCAGGGTCATCAGCTGCTGTCCTCTCTGCAGGACCCAGAGGCGGGAGACCCTGACCTTTAGATCAAATTTACTCTAGAGCTTGGCCCAGCAGCCATGCATAGCTTATTGGCAATACAAACAAACAAACAAGCAAGCAAGCAAAACAGAGGCAGACGTAGAGGTACTCTTCAGGAATTCCGGGAGCATCGTTGGGGGAGTGGTTAGCCAGTCCCCCTCGGTCACCAGGGATGCGGGGCAGAGAAGGGAATCAGAGGCCTTGTCTACGGAGACAGACACAGGGGCCTGCGTGTGCCGTTAACAGGGGCCTTGGTTTCTAAAGTTAACTCTGCTGCAAGGGAACAATGGGGGAGGGGCGAAGGATTGCCTTTGCTCCTGTCCTCCAAGACAGATGTCTGGGAAGATGAGCTTTTTGAGCTGTAAGCATCATTTGCATCGTCTGAGGCCCAGATAAGAGGACGCGCACAGGAAACAGGCAAAGGAATAAGTGAAAAGAACAGAGATAGGGCGACTTGGCGCAACATTATCTGACCAGCACGAAGAAGGGTCTTTGGGTTGTTTGTCGGCAGCCTGTCTCACGCACGTCTAAATAGGCAAGATGTTCAGATCAGATCTCCAGTTGCTAGATACGTAACTGAATGGTTTATCTGTTATGTGAGTGACATGCTCGAAGACGTTTTGAAGAAGAAAAAACAGCATCAAACATCCCTGCAGGAATTCTACGAGTCATGAGTACACTTTTCAAGTATTTATCGAACGCCTACTATGTGCCAGGCCCTGCTTCAGTGCACGGCATACCTCAGTGAACCCCTTTGCCTCACGATCTTGTAATCAAAGACAAAACAGAGATCCAGGAAGAAAAAAAAAAAGAACAAACAAAGAGTATAAGGGCGGTGTGTGATACTGGCCAAATGACAGGCTCTTATTATAAATTCTATTGACTTTCAGGGAACGGAAAGATCACAGTGTGCAGAGAGAGTCAGGGAAAGCTTGCACGTTGAGCCAGACACTTAGGGAGAGATTTGATTGAGAGGAGCGGAGAAGGAAAGGCACCACGTTTCACCTGGGGTGGGGCCGCGTGACGACGGGAACGTTCACCAAGCGCCCCGCGGTCTGCAGATCGGTGGCTCACCCGGGCTGCAGGGGGGGAACGGGCAACACATGTTGGGGCCGAGCTCGGAGCCCAGCCCAACTCAGCGGAAGGCGCCCACCACTCCTTCCTTCCCATCGGACCTTTCTTCTCTACTGATCAGGTTCACCGTTTCGTACTGACTGGCCAATCTGCAGCCCCTGTCGGGGGCAGGGGGATTTCTCCGCACAGAAGTGGCAAAGAGAACCAGGAGGCTGTGTTTATTTCTTTTTTTAAAAGATTTTATTTATTTATTTATTTTTAGAGAAGGAAGGGAGGGAGAAAGAGAGAGAGAGAGAAACATCAATGTGTGGTTGCTGGGGGTCATGGCCTGCAAGCCAGGCATGTACCCTGGCTGGGAATCGAACCTGCGGCACTTTGGTTCGCAGCCTGTGCTCAATCCACTGAGCTACACCAGCCAGGGCTAGGCTGTGTTTATTTAAACCAAGAAACGATATGATTCCTGCCTATCTTCTGTGTGTGTGTGTGTGTGTGTGTGTGCATGTGTGTGCGTGTACATGTGTGTGCACACCGACTAACGGTTGGCGTGAGACACTTTCTCTTTGGGGGAAACAAGACTCCTTTGTAGGCTGTAATCTCCAGTGGAAGATCTCCTTGACTTGGAGGGACTTCGCTTTCTTAGCCAACCTCATTTCTCATCCCTTTCCTAATTCGAAGTAAACCCATTCTCCCTCCCTATTTCATAGCACTACCCGCCCCCCCCGCCGCCCACTCCCGGAGTCCATACCTCTGCTCAGCTGTCTGCGCTCTGCCGCACCTGACCAGGTCCTCTGAGCCCCCTCAGTCTTCAGGCCAAGCCCCACAGCCTGCATCAGCTCTCTCCCAGCCATAAATACTGCTGGTGCTGCTTTGTGCCCTTCCTCATTTCTGCAGTGGGCCCCCAAGTCAGCGTCCGGTTCTCCATGCGGAAAGAACACAGTCAGGGGTGACTGACCCAGGTGGCTTCTCGCAGAGGTTATGCCTGAGTTGATCATTCCGAGGTCAGGCAAGGCTTTTGGCCACAGTATCCACCCTTTGCCCCACGCTGACCCTTACATAATACCATCTTGCTTGGTTGGTTATTAAAAAGGCTGCACTGATGGAGGGAGCCATTCCAAAGTCCTAGCAGTTTGTCCATTTTAACAAATACATTAAGCAGGTAGTGATGCAGCTGGTTGGGTAGAAAATGCTTCGTGAGGAGAAGGGGAAAAAGGAAGGCTCCCCTACCCCAGTTTGCTAACCTTCCCTGTCTCAAACACATCTCCCAGCTCTCACCCACCATTGGCCTTCCTCTTTGGCTCTGAGGACAGGAGGGCAGGAGGGCACGGAGAAGAGTTAAGGAAAGGCTCAGCGAGCCCAGGCCCCCAGACAGCACGTGGGCTGCTCTGAGTTCCCCTGTGTCCCTCCCGCGTTCCAGCCTCATTCCTGGGGTCTTGCCACCCTTACAGCGAGTCCTTTGACCTCAACCATGGATCTGGACACGGGATGCATTCATAGGATTCCGTTTATTTTCTTCCCCAATCATTATAAAAAACAACGCTTTCCAGCTAAAGCAAAGAGGCGGCACCCTTTAATCCTTCTTCTGGAGCACTCATGATATGCATTCAAAGTGCAGACGGAGCCTGGGGGTCACCACTGCGTGCACACAGTAAATCTCAGTTTATCCGGAATCCGGGCGGTCACGAAGCTTAGAAGACAAGATTTTTTTTTCTTTAACAGACAGAAGTCAGGGAGGGCAGTCATTGCGGAGACAGTGAGATTCAAGCAGGCGCTGTTTTGAATCTATGAGCTCCGTGGGGGAGAAGGTGGATGAAGCAGGCACCCTGAGATAGGCAGGAGGGAAAGAAAGCAGTCGGTGAGGCAGGGAAGGAAGAAGGCGTTGAAGGGGAGGAAGAGAAGAAACGGAGGCCCACGGACGGACGGGGGAGGCAGAGGAGGGAGAGAACTGGGAGACCCAGTGGGCGGGGCTGAGCGCTCACTGTGCTCCAGGGGAAGCCAGGTACATTGTTCTGCAAACCACATTATTAGCTGCCTGCCATATGGCTTCTAAGTTCTGTGGGGAAAGCAAAGGCAGAGAAGGAAATGTTAGTCAGTTGTGCTAACGCTGAAAAAAAAAAATCTGTGGAAATTTCCAAAAGCGTGAGAATAGAAACCTGTGTCGCCCAAAGATCCGGGGGCCTTGGTACATTTCCCATATCGAGGCTCCCAACCATGGTGGTTCTGATTCAGACGGGGCGGTTTGGCGCCGATGATAATTTCTGTTCCTCATGGTGACCGAGAGCCCGAAGGAGCCTTCTGAAGTTCGAAAGGAAGGTGAATTAGAGTGAGGGTGGTGTGACCAGTGAATGCAGTTTGAATGTTAAGTGTGTGTTGCTGTATTCTAAGTTTTGGGAGACTGTGAACCCAAGGGTGAAAGAAGGGGTCACCCTCAGTTACACAGGATGGGGTACATGCGGCATCCCTTCTGGTCCCAATCCTGGACTATGGTTATTGTCTGGGAGCCCTGTCATCATTTTAAAACGTTTCCAGAAGTAGCCTCATCCCCTCACCTGCCCTGCTCTCAGACTCACCTCCTATCTCACCCTTGATTCTCTCTTCTTTATCTCCACGGGCTGCCCAACTTTCCCCGCAAAATCCCTCGGTCTCCTCGCCATTCTCAGAGCCCTGAATGAAGCCCAGGTCCTCATTCACCGGTCCCCGCCTCCATTCCTTCCATTACCTTCTAGAACAACTTCCTTATCATCGCTTTCATTTGCTGAGTCTCAGAGCCCAGGAGAGTTTCCCTGGCAGCCAGCCACACCTGCCCCCTTGATTATCACCTGCGAATTTCCCGTCACCCTCTAAGCGCATCCCCTTCTCCAGTGGGGAGCCCCCACAACTGGTCCCAAGCCAGAAACCTGTGGATCGTGCGCCCTCCTCCCTCTCCCTTCAACTGTCCATCAGCAAGTCCTGCAGGGCCCACTCAGAGCCTCTGCCCAGCTCCGTCTTTTTATCTCCGTGGGCACCACCCGCGTTCAGGTCACTGCCACCTCTTGTCGGGACTCCTGCAGCAACCTCCTCGCTCTCCGCTGAGCTCCCCTCTGACTCCCAGTCTGTTCTCCATTTTCCGTTCTCCACTCAGTGGCCTGAGACGTCATCTTTAAACATGCAAATCAAGTCGTGCTGTCCCTCCAGTGGCTGCTCATTGCTCATAGGATAAATATCCCAAACCCCTGCTGTTGCCTCCATCTCCCAGGTCCTGCCTGACTTCCTCTCCCTGCTTCCCCCCCCTACCCGAGGCCCTCTCCCCACCGCATGGCCTGGCCGCCCTCCTCGCTGCCTCTTGAACAGCCTCCTCCTCACCGCGGGGGGCTTGGCTCCAATAGCACGTCTTCAGAGAAGACCTTCTGGACCTCCTTAAGGACGGCATTCCAGCCTCCCGCCATTATTCTTATTGCTGTGGCTATTCCCTCCCAGCCTTGTCAGCCACCATTTGTGGTCACTCTGTTCACTTGCGCTTTGTCTGCCCGCCCCCTGGGCTCTAGGTCCCGGGAGGGCCTGGACCCACGTGTGGACCGTCTCTTCCCCAGCTTCCGCGTGAATGCTCACAATGTGAAAGCCAGCTTAACTACTATTTTATTACTTACGTTGTTATTTGCTATTCTACATTTTATTATTAATTATTATCATGTCTCTTGATGATTCCAGACTTTGCAGATGGAATGGTCACCCTTTTGTCTACGGCCCTCCAAGAAGCACCCTGACTGCCCTAAACTTTCAGTCTTTTCTCGACTGTTTAACCTTTTCTTTGACTGACAGAAACTCTCGTGGGACTGAATCCCACCTTCCTGCTCCTTCCTACACCAGCCTGCCGTGGGAATGGTCTATCCCCCACTGTACTTCCTCGCTCCCACTTACTCCTTCCCTGTGTGCAACTCCGTTCCTATCAAACGTCTTTATTATTCCAAATTAACTTCAGAATCGGTTTTTAGGAAGTTTCCAAAATAATCCCACTGGGATTTTACTTGGGGTCACATTAACTTTAGTGAGTTTGAGGGAACTCGTTATCTCTGCAGTGGAATTCCTTCTCATCAAGGCCACAATACATTTCCCATAGCTTTAAATAACATGATGTTTTCTTTGTAGTGGTCCTTTTACATTGTTGTTGAATTTCCCCTGAAGGGTCAACAGTATTGCCTTGGCCTCTGTGGCTTCAACTGGAGCATCACCCCGTAACCAAAAGGTTGCAGGTTCGATTCCTGGTCAGGGCACATACCGGGGTTGTAGGTCTGATCCCTGGTCCAGGCGGGTAAGGGAAGCAACCAATTGACGTTTCTCTCTTAAAATGATATTTCTCTTTCTTCCTTCCTCTCCTTCTGAAAGCAATGAAGAAAAATGTCCTCAGGGGAGGATTAAAAAAAGCAACAGTATCAATAGAGTATGTCTAAATTTTGTTCTCTTTTTATTAATTTTGCCTGACATGTCATGAGCTTTGATTTATGAATGCAGGTCTTGCTTCTACTTAAGGTTTTCTTTTCTAATATCTTTATATTATTATATTATTAGCAGAAGAATATTTCTTTTTTTAAAAGATTTTGTTTATTTATTTTTAGAGAGGGAAGGGAGGGAGATAGAGAGAGAGAGAGAAACATCAATGTGCGGTTGCTGGGGGTTATAGCCTGTAACCCAGGCATGTACCCTGACTGGGAATTGAACCTGTGACACTTTGGTTCCCAGCCCGTGCTCAATCCACTGAGCTAAACCAGCCAGGGCAAGAATATTTCTTCTGGTCCTTTTCTCCCCCTTCTCATTCAAACCTGGATTTCCATGGTCCATAATCCCCATCTGTAGACCCTGGTCATTCTGATCTGCTGGTCCTTGTCTTCTGTATTACGAAATAAAACCCACAAGCTTGCCTTTCTTTTCACCAACTGGATTTTCTTCTGCATCGCATCTAACTATTGATTATGCTAAGTTAACTTAAAATTCTGCTAGGTCATTAAATGTTTCCTTTTCATTCTTTTCTCAACTCCGACAACCCCCATCTCACAATGCTCTCTCATGTCGCTTTTACCTTTTACTTCGTGCAGACGGTGACTTTCATGTTTTCCTCCATCAAATGTAGTTTAAATGTGGTTTAAAATTCACTTCTGTTTCCTATAGTAATTTTTTTTAAAAAGTATGCAATTTTAACATTTCTTGAGTGCTATGTCAATCCTCATTCATGTTACAGAATTATTGCGTAGGTCACATTTATTTTTTATTTCCTCTTACTTTATTTTGGAAGGCAGACAAGATCTACCTTGACTATGTGGTCACTAAAAAATAATGTGAATAGATTTTTCATGGTTTACCTGAAATCTGTTAGCATCATCTTTTAAAATCTTAAATTGGTGAGTTGACTAAGACCAGGCCAATGACCCAACAGCCTGATTGATTGGTGTGGAAAGGAGGCCGGGGCTGTGGGATGTCCAACCAGAGAATCGGAATCATAATCAGTCCAACTAGATACCAGGCCTGTCTTAAACATTTTACATGTATTTCTTTACTTAGTCCTCACAATAACTCCATGAGGTGCAGTTCAGCATTATCCCCATTTTATAGATGAAGAAACTGAGGCTCGGGTAAGTCAATGATCCAATTATCCAAGCAAATCATTAGTGGAACCAGGATTCGAACCCAAACGGTCAGCTCGGGAGTCCACATTCTCAACTTCTACTTTAGATGGCCTCGCTTCTGTCGACTTTCTGCATGTGCGCCTGTTCCTTCCCTGGTCCTGTTGGTCCACGACCTGCCCCCATACACGGAGGGCAGGGAGAGACGGAGGCAGACCGGTGGGAGGCCCGGGATGTAACGCACGAGGCTCGTCTCGGGCTCCTGAAGACAAGTCGATCCCGCTCTCCTCCCTTGGACCTTCAGCATATACAGAGGCCTTAACGGGGTTCAGCCACGTATTCGGTCCCAGTGGTCTCAGTGGCACCTTACTGTCTCAAGGCCACACCCTTGAAAACATCCCCACCATGTGAACGGTGGGCAGACGGATATTCTAAGGACAGGGATGAGGGGAGCCCCCAGTTGCTCTTGTGTCAACCAGTGGTCACGTCCTCTTTTTTCAGTATTGATTTGGAGGGGGGGCATCACTTTGTTGTTCCACCCATTTGTGCGTTCATTGGTTGGTTCTTGTACGTGCCCTGACTGGGGATGGAACCCACAGCCTTGGTGTATAGGTACGATGCTCTAACCAGCTGAGCTACTGGGCCAGGGTGGGTCACGTCCTCCCGGTGACCTCCTCCAACAGTGCCAGTTGAAACTGAAATGGCCAAATCAGCCAGCTCAGCTGAGTTTAGGAGTGTCCCCGCCACGTCTGGGAGGAGTCCAGTTGCCTGAGGGCTTCACTTCTGGGGGGGCCATGCCTCCTCCCTGGGTCTGAGATGCAAGCAAACACTGCAGAGCCTGGGGCTGGGAGGGGGCTTGCTTCTCCGGGGCCTCTCGCCACCGCTGCCGCCACCACCAGCAGCCGCAGGACCCAAGGGTCTGTCTGGCAACTTCCGTCCTCTGACACGCACCCATTTGCTGGTGAGCCTCACTGAGACCTTCCTTCTCACTTTGGTCCCTCCTACCTCAATATCTAGAGCGTATCCCTGGAGTTGCCTGACACTTAGGTGGCGGATTTTTGTACTTCTCTGCCATGGAGCAGGATTTCCACTTATTTTTATTTAAAAAAATGTTTTGGTCTGTTCAGTGGTTTCTGGGCAGTAGGGGGTTGAACCCCTGTGTGCTGCTCCTCTTCCTAGATCTCTCTTCTCCCTTTTCTCTCTCTCTCACTCCCGCCTCCCCTCCTTTGTCTTGCATTACGCTTCATTCTCATCGGAGGTTCTCCGGACGAGCCTCTTCCTGGGATCCTTTTCCATCTGCACCCACACTGCTGATGGTGTCCAGTCTGGGGTCCCAGCTCAGGGGCCCCTGAGGCTCCCATAAATGGTCAGCCGGACCTCACAGACCAGACACCACAGACTCAGCATGTGGAACATGGCACAGCTGACACTTCTCGTGGAACGTGCCTCCTGCGTGGTGGGCGAGCGCCTCTGACCCGCCAGTCACCTTCGACTGCTCTCTCGTTCAGTTCCCCTTCAGCTAAAGGGTGCTCCCCAGTTCTGCAAGAATAACCAGCCCCCCACAAAGTCTTTCAAAGCCTCTAGCTCCAGCCCCCCAATATGGTCTGGAAGGTCGAGTGAGACGGGCCGTCTATCCTCGCTCCCTGCCTCCTTGCTCCCACCTCCCTGCATGGCGTGGGGTTCCCTGCCTGCACCTTGCAC